TTTTAAAGAAGACATATCGTTTTTCATATCGAAAATTGAAAAAATTATAGAAGACGCATCATCCGAAAATAGATGTTTCCAAATAAAAAAAAAATTAAATAAGATAGTTCTAAATAATGAAATAAAAATTAAAGTTCTGCAGAAACCTTCCACGGACCACTTTAGAAGCTTCACGTATCACCGGTTGGGACCAACTGGACTAAAGATCAATTTTAGTCAGGTGGCGAAAGGACATTTTTTGTAATTAAATTATTTCAAATATTATTAAGTCTTAAATGGCTATAGATAAAGATGATAAGAAGTATTTAGATCTATCATTTGTGTTTCATATTTGGTAAAATATGCAGGGCGATTCCAGAATTATTACCGGAGAAAACTGAAAACAACTTTTAAAGGTTATAGATAGAATGCAACTGACACTACACTCTGAAATATTTCTTGCATTCTTTTATATGTACCTAAATTTTCCAGAAAATCAGAATGTTTTCGCTAAAAAAGTAGGCTTTGTTTTTTTAGGAGGATTTTGGGATTTCGATTTAGTTGAAAATATGTACTCTGATAGTACATGGGCATCGTTACGAGAAGTTGTAGGCGAGTGAAAAATTTTAGCGCTGTAAAAAAATTTGGGTCACCTTTAATGAGCAAAAAAATACAATTTACAAGAAAATAAGGGACGTAAAACTTCTAAAACTTTTCTTTGAAAGAATATATTATAGTTAAAACCAAACAGAACTATCTGAACAATAATAGTCTTATTGTATAGGATAATTTTAAATACTAAAATAAAAACTGTACACTTGTATTCTCTCTAGCAAAAAAAACATAAAATAGAAACTCTCAGTGTGGAATACATTTAAAAATTTAAATATAAACCAAACAGCACCACTAGAAAATACAATAAATAACAATATAGACACCAACAAGGAAATTAAAAAATATGTAAGAAGAAACGCAAAACGCTTTTTAAGAAAATAAAAATAACATGACACTCAATAATGTATGGTATCCTGGGTTTCAAACGATTTCCTTAAGTTTTTAATGAGTTGATTTTGGGATCAGAAGCAACTTTTAAATGAAGCATTTCTTTGTTGACTATATAGGGTATACCCTATGCTCGAAAAATTTAATGCACTGGATTTTATTTTTGCAAAGATAAGAAATTAAAAACTGTCATTAAATGGTTAATATGGTTATTTCATTTGGTTTTAATCAATTAACAAATTTCTTATTCTAATTTATATGCAGATTTGCTTTGTTAAGTCTTTATTAGACCGAAAAACTATCAAAACATAAATAATAATTTCTAGACTTATTTCACTACAGCATACGGATATTACAGAAAAATATTTAGGTATAAACTAGGCATTTATAAAAGACAAATCTTATTCCATTCGGAAATTGTTAATTGTTAAAAACAAAATGAAATAACCATTAACAATTTAATGTCAGTATTAAATTACTTATATGTTTGCAAAAAATAAATTCAGTGCATTCAATTTTTAGGTCAAACACCAACTGTTCTATTTAAAAGATGTTTATCTTAGTCTCAAGAATTACATATCAAAAAATTACTCAAATCGATCGATTTCCAGAATCAAATGCATTATATTCAGGTCAGTTTCTTTAACACATCCTGTATAGCTACAAAGAACTGTTTCATTCTTCTGATCCCAAAATCAACATAGTAAAAAAATTAAGAAAATAGTTAAAAAAAAAAAATGGAAAAAATATGAACTCTTTTAGTGCTAAGGAAATATATCTTGTTTAATAAAATGTATTAAGTCAACTTCCAAGGGGGAAGGCAAATGCCCATGCTGATAGAGAATACCTCATGGACTACAAAAATCAAATCAGTTTTCGAGAAAAACAAAAAAAATCACTTCACTACCAAGTTTTGTCCAAAATGTGTACATAAAATGGTTGTTTAATAGTAGTTCTGTAGTAATGTGCTAGAGGTTCCATCTATCGATGAGTTTTCAAAAAGAGGTAGATAGTAAATATATTTTGACCTCTCATCTGTACTTAAGCCCTTTTAAGAGTTTTAAATAATTACTGAGGCCCTTCCTATGGTGTCTCAGTATTGCATTCTTGCAGACGAAAAAATTTTCTTACCCCCATTTTTTAAAACTTTTTTTCATGTTTTCGATCATTCTGAGTCCGAAAATGCAAAAAAAAAATTCTGGTCTGGTCTGGTCGTCTGTATGTATGTATGCCGGCACGATAACTCGATTGACCTGCGGTTTTGATTTTCTTGAATAATGACTTCTAACTTAGAACCCTATTGATTTTCAGAATTTTCGGTTCATCCTAACTACTTTATAATCAATTTTCTTAAAATCCGCATATGCATTTCTTATGTTACAATTTTAGGAATTTCAATTATTTCTAAGTCAACATTCCTAACATTCTTAAAATTCCATAAATTGCAAACATTCTCTAACGACTTGTCAAACAGCTGTTTGATAGTAAAGGTGAAATTTCTAAGACGGGTTGCGACCTTCATACTTGCAATTATAGCCATTTTGGAGGCTATTTTTATTCGAAATTAGTAGCCAAGCCTGCCAATTTATGAAAAATATATAAGCAATTTCTTAAAAATTACTTTTTTATGGTGGTGCTAACTTAAACGTACTATTATTTCACCCCTAGCCACAAAAACACCTTCATCAAATTTATTGGCTCTCTGTCGCAACCCCATAGAATAATTAACCGGCCATTTTATTTGGCAAAAATCAGAATAATGCTTGGCTGTGCCTGTCAAGTATCAAGTTGTCAACTGTGATGTGTGAATGGCTCTTAAATGTCAAATTATTTAAAAATGTATACTTCTTTTGATATTTATTGCAAATAATTTGTAGTATATCTCAATTCAGGCTTTCCATAAAGGTACAGCAAGATAGATAATATAATGTTCTTATACAAAGGTAGGATATAATGCTGGTTTTTTTTTGTAGAAAATTTTTGTTATACGATTTTGGATTACATATATATTCAACCAGCGAATTGTAAACATTAATTAGTAAACTTCTAGTCATAAATTTCCTCAATAAATAAAATTTAAAAATGAATCTTCTTACCTTGGTACCGAGGTATTTTGTTGTGTTTTTTATTTTAATTATAAAGTTGTAATTTATTTGTATGTTGAAAGAAGGCCTTTGTAAATTACATTGCTCTTTATGGATCTACTTTAACACAAAAATAGTTTTGTGGCTATAAGTTGCTATAACCTATTGTCGCAAAACTATTACTAATTTAAACATAGTAAGTAGTATTATTATAACATCAAGTAATTTTTTAAAATAAAGTACATGATCTCAAAATATAAATAATTTATAATAAATGCGGGCAAAACGAGGGGTAAAATAACAATAAATTAAGGGAAATACTTAAAAAGGGCAGGTTTAAAGAGTATTATCACAACAAATTATATCCGTTCTGTTTATTTATCAAGTATTGTTTGAGGTTACTTTTGAATACATTTATTGTTTTTTTTTATTTTCTGTAGGCAGTCTATTAAATTTTTTAAACCTTTAATAAAAATTGTATTTTGGGAACTTTTAGTGATGGCTTGCCATACATGAAAGTCAGATTGGCTTCTTGTATTTTAGTTGTGATATTTTGAATTATATTGAATTTTTTCATTAAGATCTATTATCTATTAAGATCTGATGCGATGGTACTGTCATTTTTATTTTATAAATAAATATCAGTCATTTACTGAACATAATTCTGAACTGAAAGCCAATTTATTTCTTTTAACATAGTTGCAATACTCATCCTTCTGTCCCTTTTACATGAGCAGGCTTAAGAGGTAAAGCGGCAAATTATTATTGGATAAATTGCTCAAACAAGTTTGTAAACCCTAATTAAAAGGCGATATAGAATGGTTTTAAAAATCAAGGCTTATGGAAATCATTACATGGTTTAACCTAATTAATGCCAATGCTTCACAAACCAAAAAATTCAACGTCCTATATAATACTACTATATCGGCTTTCGGTCTTTCGTTCTAAATTAAATCATTTCTCGTTTTTGTTACGCTACGAGTTTAGCCTTGTGGGCCTCAGTCTCGATAAGGTGGGAACCACCATTTTAGCGTCTCTCGAATTTTTAAGTTAAAACAATGTACTTATGCCACCTGAATAATTTAAATCATCCATCGCCCAGAGATATCTTTTCTGCCATTTTCTGTCCATGTTACTTTGATCTTCATGGCGTAATCTATGATCTTCATCAGGGGCTGCCAACACAATATCCTTATCTATGATCTTCATACAACGCTTTGGATCAAAACCATGATCAAAACAGATATAATAGACCTTTAGTCCAGTGGTCCCAACTGGTGATAAGTAAAAGTGATCGTGAAAGGTTTCTGTAGAACATATAAAAGAGTTGCCAATAAATAGAGATTTTGAAAGAGATAAGCATTCAATATTATTATTTTTTTTTTAATCTAAGAGGCATATTCTTTATATGTATGCATATTTTAAATTAAATAATTGAAATACCAAAATCTTCGTAAAAAAAGACTATAACCCGAGGGGTCATCCATTCCCGAAATACTGGTACGTCTTTACTCAAATTCACCGAAATCACTAAAAATTTTCTCGAAATTTCCGAAATCGTAATCGAAAATCATGATTGAAATCATCACCGAAATCAAAAATGTTAATGCAGCTTGTAGACCAAAAGACAAAGGAATAGCCCTCTCCCCTCAAAAAAAAGGTCAGCGTATAAGAAGGATTTTTAACGAAATCACCGAAATAAAATTTTTTTATGTGATTTCCGAAATACAAGTAACTTTTGACCTTAGTGGTTTCGCCCTCGCTATACCCTTATTTTTTTTTTTTTTTTCGATTTTTTTTACAGTATGTTTACTCGTCTGTACTTTAATACGGACGCAATGGTATATCTCATAGCACCTAACGTGTTAAGTCCATAAAATAGTTTTATTTATTGCACCAGTTATATAAGAGGCCAACTTGGAAAAAAAAAGAAGATTCTAACCAAAGACAAATGTCACTGATGTTACATGTCATTTAATATTTTGGTTTTGACTTGGGCAAAGTAGTAGAAATACTTCATTGAATTTTGGGTTTTTAGTTTATCATAATAATTGGATAATAATAAAAATGAATATCATGAATGAAATAGTTGCTGAAGAATTAACTTCTTCACAATTAAAACAAATCCTACAGGATCGCTATGTAAGTATTAAATTAACAATTAACTTTATGTGCATTTTCAATTTGATTTATATTTACAGGGACTACCACTTAATAGTTATTATCTACTTCACAATGGAAAAATAGTTGATTCAATCACTATTCTTGAAAATGAAATGATTGGTTCACTTAAAATTGTGCCAAGAATTTTGGGTGGTAAAGGTGGATTTGGTTCAATGCTAAGGGCTATTGGAGCTCAAATAGAAAAGACTACTAACAGAGAAGCGTGTAGGGATCTAAGTGGAAGACGTTTGAGAGATATTAATGAAGAACAAAGGTTTGTTTCGTGTGTTCCTAATTTTATTTTATAAATAAAATTTCTATATAAGGTTTACCAAAAAACTGCACGGGGATGAGGGTTCCTATGACAGTACAATCAATATATTATCAAGGGTAGATTTGTAGTACTAACCTGTATGTCTGTACTTATTGCTGCTCCCACTTGTTCTGACAAAAATTACCTGATACCTCAATCTCCTAAAAGCCAAGCCTTCCACCATATTATGTCACCATGACATATAGTATTAATCTGTGTAATAACATACCTTCTTTTTATTGTATCTTGCCACTACATTCTCATTAATAAGACTAACCTCAACATAATGCAGTCCAGTATAGTCTGCATTAGGTACCTTTAGTGGCCTATTAACAAATCTTACAGCAACTTGCTTCCTTTTGTATTTTTGTAATTGAATGGTTCATAACAAATATAAAAACCTAACTGAAACATTTAACTAAAGATAGTGTTAAAATATTAAACATTCCATGGAAACTCAGCATAATGTAAAATCCTCAAATACAACGTTCCTAGGGCCGATCCTTCAATTGTCAATTCAATGCACTTTCAATAAGCTCTAGGGTGTGTTCCAAATCTTACATGAAGGTTGAGCTAAAAAAATAAATTGACATTTCTTGGGTGACAGTTTTAGGTATGGCTTTTATAAGGAATGATAGATTTCACTTACTATAAGAGCCATTCAGTTCATATCTTCTCCCTTGAACTCTAACCTAATATTTTTACGATACAAAACCATTTTAAAATGTTAAATAGTATTTTTAATAGTTTTTGCTACTTCTGGTATTCTATGTTTGTGATTTGACACAAAAACAACATAAAAATTAATATCAATTGATGCATAATAGGCTGTAGTCATTGATAAAAGTGTACAAGTTATTGAAAAGTACACTTTAAAGCTTTATTTAACTAAATACCTGTTTTAAAAATTAGCATAAATTAAATGTAATATTTTACATGCTTCAATATAATATCTATTAAAACTCATTTCACATGTAAAAGTTAGTCCCCACGCCCTGTTATGATGTTTTTTTTAGGTAGATGACCATGAATGATTTCATGTATATTCATTTCTAGTTTCCAAATTTTGTTTTTAAATATATTTACTCTCTAATTCATTTCATATTTTTATTTACCTTCCTTATACTTAATAAACATTAAGAAAAAATTATTGTATTCAGTTTTAGGCAGGTACAATTTGCACTTTTAATAAAGAGGATTACCCTGCTTCCTGTAGGTACATATTCCTAGAATAATCCAGTATCATTCCCTTGCACATTCATTTGCCTGATTTGGGAAAACCAAAGATGTTGAAATGTTTAACTTTATGTGTAAGATAAGATTAGAAAAATACACAGTGTGTAATTTAGTCCAATATTTCGATTTTTGATAGGTTTATAAAAAAGTTTTAATCAACATTTTTATGAAATAAATCAAGTTATTTTTATAACTCAGTTGGACATTTTCTGGGTGCACCATACTCCATAACTTTAAAACTAATAAATGTAGCACTACCCATGTGGTTAGTGGTTGTATTATAACTTCAATGCTGTTGACAATCATAACTTCAATTAAAACTAGAGTATGAAAAACTGAAAAAATATCCATGGTGTATTATTTAAATTAATATCATTTTGGATAAATTTTAAATAGGTAATCAACATTAGAGTAAGGCAATATTTCACAATTTCACAGACATTCATTATCTTTATCGATTTTATAAATGATTTCCAGAAAAACATTAGCCAATACTTAATTTTAATAAAAACAGTAGTGTAATTAAAAAATCACACCTCATGTTTCTATATTTTTCTCTGAATTGACATTACTATGTTTAAAGTTTTAGACGTAGATACTTATTTAAAAATGTTTTGTGAATAGGGATGTTATACCTATAGGTACTGATATTTTTCAAAAAAAACTTTTATTTTTAAACCTATTAGAAATAGAAATACTAGCAAGTTACTTTACTAGTTGTACCCACTGTATTATATGAATAAAAGAAAATTTAAAACATTTTTTAACCCAAAACCTAACATTTTTGTGGCTTATAGATAAGTATTCAGGTTAAATCCGTTTTTATGTCTTGATTATATGAAATTAGCTCCAATATAAGTTTTACATTTGATTCAATTTTATCATACTGAAAATAGCTATTTATGTATATTTTTTAAATTAGTTTATGAACTATAATAATTATTGTAGGTTGATTTAATTCTTTTCATAAAGAAAAATAAAATTAATATAGGTACCTTATTGCTATATAATAGAAAGAAGATAATTTTCAATATTTAAAAAATGCATTGGAAAGCTTTTTTCTGCTTGTCAGATTCTTTAAAATTATAATTAAAACTAAAAATTTTTAAAGTAAATCTTTATCTATAAATTACGTTTTAAATTAATTTTTGTGTGCTTATGTCCATTTTTTTTACAAACAAAACACTGTTGAATCTATTTAATCACATAAATAATCAAACAAAATCAGAAAAAGCAGTTTTCACAAAAAGATGCTGCAACCAACCAAAAGTACTTTTATGAATTAAACAAATTTACAACTTGATCTACAAATACGACAAATACCATCAAAAGTAAATGTGCTGTTGCCAATCATAAAATTTCTTCTGATGATTTAAAGTCAAACAGTATTGCAAGCTAATGTATTTACATTACTACTGGTAAAAACACCATAAACTTGGCATCAATGTTCAGGCATCAGATTATTATGTTTCTGCCGTGGACGCCAACGTTGAGGCTTCAGAAATTTTGTAAATAATCCTATTTCTCTTAGTTATATATCTATGATAATTCCTCAGTGACTAAAAAATGTCTCACTGAACCTTCTTTTTTATTTAACTTGTAATGTACATATTTAAAATTAAACATACCATGATATATTGTTTGAAAAAGGTGTCATAAAAGTCCAACTTTTTACCACACTCTAAAGTCCAGTAAAAAGTTGTAGACTGTAGTAAATAAACCAAGGTTGTGGAACGAGATTCATAAATCACTCAGTTGACTTCATTAGATGTTTTTGAACAACTTGAGCAAAAATAGAGGCATTAAACTTATCATGTGAAATTGTTAGTTTCAGGAATTAAATGTTTGAGCTAGTTATTCACAATGAACTACTAAGTGAACTAATAAGCATATTAGGCATGCCATCAGCACTGATGATCAGATATTAAACAATAAATTATGGTTCACTTTCAATTAGTTAAACAAATGTGGCTAAAAAAAGAAATTAAAAACTATCGAATGAGAACCTTACTCTATTAGCGAATATTTACATTCTAATTTAAATTAAAAATTGTTTGGTTTTGGACACCATTTCATTCTGTGCTGTCAGTTATAAATACTTATTTGTATCTGTCAACTTTTTTTGAAATAAAGATTATTATTATTATTCTATTGAGACCACTTCACGTTTCATTACAATCAAGTTTTCAATTATTTTTTTACTGGATAATTTTCCTACGTATTGAACCCTCATTAGAAATGATTGCATATCTTAAGTAATGTTAAAGAAATAATTTTCCAAAATTTCTTATTTTATTAGATTAAAAAACTGGATAAACCAACAAGCCGAGAGAGAAAAGGAAGCCAAAGAGAGAAAAAAGAAAAAACTAGAAAAAGCATGTCAACTGCCTAAACACGAATTCAATGATACAGAATATGATAAAGAAAGATCTGCTCTTCCAGAAGCAGTAGAAGATGCTGTACTTCAAGGTCTTCTTGCTTCTACTAGTAGTGTATCTACAAAAAGGAAAAGCAAACAAGAAGTTGTTAAAAAGAAAAAACCTAAACTTTGGTAAGTTTCAGTTATAATTATAATATAGGTTTGTTCTGTTTTTGCTCAGTAGGTAAGAGGAGTTCCAACAAATGACTGTTCAATGGATGATATAATGTCATGAATTGATTTTTGTATGTTAATTTCAGAACATGATTAAAAGCAGGAACTGCTTGGACCGACCTGCATATTGCAGTATTCATCAGATGACAGCATGTACTGACATCTGATATATTTTTTATTTAATTTTTATATTTTAAACTATATTTTTCCTTTGTTTATAAGACATTCAGCCAAATAATTTAGTTAGGAAAATTTTGAGCCCAAAATATTATAAAATTTAGAAAATTCATAATTATATATCATTCTTTTTTTTTAAGGGTTGAAGATGAGTTGGATGATGATCTTAGTTCTAGTGGAAGTGAAAAAGATGAATCTAGCAATAGCACTAAAGAAGAAGAAAAGGAAATTAAAAATAATAAAACTGAAACCCTGCTGGAAATTCCTTCAGTAATCCCATCAACAACTGAAAAAAAGATAGAAGGACATAGTTTGACCATAGAAAATAAAGAAAAAGAATCATGATTTATACTATTTGGTAGATTAAACTGTGGCTTACTCTGTCAGTCAAATAGAAAATTAGTTGATACTACAAATGACTGAATAGATGGTGACTGTTTAAAACATTTTAATTTTTGGAATAAAAATAATTATTTTTTAAGTTAATTAATTTAATTTTAGACATTATAAAAACTATTAATTTTGTGAAATAAAAACAAGTTATACGAATTTAAAATGTATTTTTACATAAGTTATTCATCATTCTCCATTTCACCAGTATCAACAGTACTGCTTTCCTCCATTTCGCCAGTATTGACAGTATTGTTTTCCTCCATATCAACAGTAGTGTTTGTCTCCATTTCTTCATCTCTAGATTGATTTTCTGTTTCATCCATCCTTTCAATTTCTTCAGTGTCTGAAGGTTGTTCTTGAATCTGTGTGGAAACTTCAACCGATTGATTTTCAACGGGTTCATCTTGAATAGGTATTGGGAGCTGTTGTTTTCCTGAATCTTCATCTTCACTATCTGTGTCTCTATCTTCTCCGGGATGTGACGAAATAAAGCCGTCATGAGATTTTAAATGAATATCGCCAGGTTTGTCCCATTTGTTTTCAGACTGAAAATAAATACATGTAAGAATGTTTAGTAGGGAGAATTGACTGTGTCTCTAAATGAGCAATGACAGTTATTAGTACACGAGAGATATGAGAGAAAAGGGATGTTTTCGGAAAAAAGGTTATCGGGCAATTTTTTAATTCACGAATCGTAAGTTGACTATAAAAGAACAGTTAAACCAAAATATCGAACCTTCATTAGCATTTTGTGTTATTTGTATGGAAATCAGTTTTCCGCAAAAGCGGCGAGACGTAGTAGAAAATGTTTCATACAAAAGTTGTATGTACAATGTATGCATTGGGTCACAACACTACGATGATAAATGGAAAAAATAGAGGGCCCCAAAGTTCACAAAAGTAGTTTGTTTGAGTATTCTTAACATCTATGAATGAAATAAAATTTTCATTTAAAGCAAGACATAAAAAACTAGTGAAAATTTAGAAAAATGCCCAATACGTAAAAACAAATAGAGATAAAAAATTGGAACTAAAACAATCCAAAAGAGAATACAATTTTATACAATACAGAGTATTCTTAATATCGATTTAGAATGAAATGTAATTTTTATTTAAGGGAGAGACAAAAAACAGAAAATTTGGAAAAATGTCTTTCATGTAAAAAAGAATAAAGATAAAAAATTGAAACTCTAGAACTATCAAAAAGAAAAGAAAATTTTATACGAGGAGTTAACCGCCGGGGAAATCTATTGTATACGACAGGGGAAGTCAGGAGGAATTCCGAGAAAGTCTCCAAACTTTAGTTATTTTACGCATGCGCATTATCTGTCGAGTGGTTGGTAATGAAAGTAATAGATCTGCCACTGGCTGTCATACTTGTCACATTCTCCTCAACAAGTGCGATCATGAATACTGTGAAAACCTCGACGAATGTTTGATTTTCGGTACACCCCATAATATTCGCCAGTTTCATAGTTTTTATAAAAGGACATTAAAATCAAAATTAGTTAGTTGTGCATTTATGTTCTGTGTTTATCAGCAAGTGCCAATTTAAGGTAAGAGTAGAAATATTTCCTATGTCTACTTAGTCTGTCAAATGTTCCAATACATATCGGCATACAATTCTACAGGGTGGTTCGTAAGTAATGCTCCAAATGTCTCTAAATATTGCGATCTGACACAACTTACTTTAAAAAAATATACAGCGTGTCAAAGTTCAAATTTACAAAATGATTTTTTTCAATAAAGTGAAAGATTTTGGATGTACGAACGTAAAAATGTGGCGATGGAGATAGGGTTTTCACGGTATGAGAAATCATAATATGATGTCCGTTTCGATGCATTTCCTAAAGGGCGCCACATGAGCATTGTTGTTGGAGTAAATGTTACAGGGTGTGCATTTTATTAGGGTCCTATATACCTTTTCTCAGAAATTACCAAAAACAACAAAAGGTTCATGCCTCGGTTCAAACAAAAGTTACTTGGTTTTAAATAGTAACTATTTTAATAGTTTAATTTTTATTGATACAGCGTGTCTGAAAAGTGCTGCATCGACTTCAACACCAGAATTACAAATTATACACCGTTTATATTTTTAAAATCTACTCGATGATTTGATTTTGATGATATGACACTTGCTATCTAGTGTGAATAAAAGATCTACAACTACTTGAAAATAACGTTTTTTCAAACCGTTAAAAATCGAGAAAAACGGTTTACATGTCCCTATCCTAACTATTCAAGTTCTATTTAATGGTTTGAAAAATTATTTCATTCAAGATGATTCAATCAGCTGAATTTTTGATCACACTGTATTAAATATTTTTTTCTTCATCTGAATAGAACTTGAAAAGTTAAAATAAACCGTTTTTCTCGATTTTTAACGGTTTGGCTCCTAGTCTTCTAAATTTTAATACACGTGATTTTCACTATTCACATTAGACAGCAAGTCCCATACATCATTGAAATCAGATCATCCAGTAGATTTTAAAAATATAAAGGTCCCATTTAAAATTCTGGCATTGAAGTCAATGAAAAGCCCTTTAAAACAACTTAACTTCAGTGTTAAAGACATTTTGCATCGTATTGACAGAATACAATCTATTAATAATATTCTGAAGGATTGCACTGGAAGGCTCACATTTTCCAGAGAAGATAAGAAAATGGACTCGAACAAGTTGGACTTTAATCTTCCAGATTATGATTTCCGTTTAACTGACCAAGATATACTCCGCGTTGTTGGAGACGCTTTACAAAATTCCATAGAAGATGCTAAGGCGCTTGGCATCACCGTATCTGACAACTGTTGGAATTTTGTAACTGTTCCAGTGTCACGTGGGAAGACCTTTAAGAAAACAGACCCAGAGTCGGTTTTGCAACCTACAGAAAATTGGGTGTGATACCATGACTGAATTAAGAAAACAATTTCGTACAAATAAAAAGCGTAAGTCCAAGAAAATACCAATTACATCTAAACGCACCAAAAAAATAAAAACTACTAAGCACGACGATACCTCGTCGGAGACTGAAGAAGAGGATGAAGCCACTACTTTCAATGACAGTACTCATACGGAAGTTTTCGATTCTAACAAATCGGACGATGATTCAGACTGTAGCCAGTCTGTGATTGAGACACAAGTTGGTGAAGCTCTTGAAACAAAACGCTCTACGAAAGTTGAAGTGGCAAACAAAACTGATGAGCTTTCAGTTGACAGTTTTGTTGTTTGTATATTTATTTATAATGAAGGTACCAAAAAGGAGAAGCAAAAAAATTTATTGCTCAAGTGATAAAAAAAAAGAAAAATCGAATATTACTGTTACAATGGAAAAACAAATGCATATTCATTTCCAGATGTTCGGGATGAGATGATTATTCATATGGACCAAATTAATAATGTTTTAAGTACTCCTGTTGTATCTCAGGGAAAGTATAAATTTTTAGAAATTTCTAGAAATTTTACCGAATGATCTTTACTATTTTGTCACTATTTATTATCTATTTTTAAGTTCTTATCATTGTTTGATGCAAAAGTGCAATACTTTTATTATTGAACCAACCCTAATAACACGAGGTGGTTATTTGAATATGTGTTTAATCTTCAAATGATAAATTTTAATAATTTTGGAGGATTTACTTTTTTAAAGTTATTTTCGACCTGGTTGAGTATTATTTGATTTATTTACACAAATGTGCCTAGGCAACAGAAGGTGGTGTTTAACATTTATTACTTCAATAAAAATAGACTTCAGATTTTTTATTTTATTCCATATCATATCAAATTAATTATACCACTACCACTAGAACTGATTTTTTCAAATCATCGATAAAACTGGACATAAAGTATAAAGTATAAGTAACACATTAAGCCTCTGATTTATTTCTATAGTATAATAATAAAAATTATAGTTGAGGCTGTCTTAAAGAAATTGAATAGGTTTGTAGATAATTATGAACATAATGTACATCTCATTAAAGTCATCAAATATTAACAAGTAGGAACCTAATTCAACGGTAAAGAAAGTAAAAAGGGGCGTTCTCAATCAGGTAAAATCATCTAGACTCTTATTCCCTTCGAATTGTTCGAACAAATTTGGAAATTTAAGTCAATAAATAACGGATTAGTTAAAATAACTTATCGAAGCATTAGTGGGGGTAGTCAGGAGTAATTCTGAGGAAGTCGTAGAAATTCAGGGGATGTTAGAAGGAATTCACTACAAAAGAGGAAATATTTTGTACAAATTTTCGCTGCGGTCAACCCCTCGATTTTATACAATATACATATAGTATTTTTAAAATCGATTAACTGCATTATTAATTATTTTACGAATTAGTGTCGAAGCATGGGAATTATTAGTGTAAGAAAGGGGCGTACACAAAATTCTGCACGCAGGCGCTTGACCTTCCAGGATCGGACTTGGATGTCTGAAAGATTGGTACGCCAAAAGTATGACAGTGAACAGTGACTAGAAATAGGAACGATTGGTGTGTGTGGCTAGTGAAGATGAAGAAAAAAGTAATATGTAAATTAATTACTGTCAAATATACTTACCGGGTACAACTGTTTTAATTGTTTAACTCTTTGAATATAGAATTCATATACGAAATTTGCGATGTGCGTCATATCTTGAACAACCATAAGTTTACCAGTCGGTTTTTTATTATTTTGCCTTGTTGGTGGATAATATTCGTTCAATATTAAATGGAGTTTTATAGGACGGGAAGTGAGCTAAAAAACAGATAAAAGTATGAATGCCTAATAAATATAAATGACAAAAAATTATTAATTTGGTCATTCAGATATAAGAGCTAAACCTCAGTCCCGACAGTTACCAATAATGTTGCCATATGTAGTTTGTTAACAGTGATATTTATATTCAAAGCAATATCAATCGAAAATACAATCAATTAAATAATGTAAGTTGTATTGATTTTATTTTTTACAAATTCGTTTCAACTCATTTTGTGATCAATTATATCGTAATAGTCTCTGAATTTGGAAACAAGTCTCATGTTTTACATACGGAATAGCTTTTTGACGTATCTAGTACGACCTGTACCTGTTCCAAGTAGATACCTAATCCAAATATCTATTCCCGTTACAAGCTATTCTAACTCTAAATTTTAAGACAGATTTTATTATTGGCGCTTGGCGCATGTTCAGTAGGGAGTAGAGGAATCCCTGAATCCGGTGAATTCCATAAGCATAATATATAATTTCGATAGATATTTAAAGCGTGCCATTGTTTACATACATAATTAAATTAATTAAATTATTGTTTATTATGAATAGACGTTCGAGTGTAGTGTGGAATTTTTTTTCGGTGATAGATGACAAAAAACAAATTGCAAAATGTAATATGTGCAAAACAGTAATTTCTTATAAAACCAGTGTCTAATTTAAAAAAATACCTTCTAAGAAAGCATCATACAGTACAATTAATCTGAATAATTTTTAAAATGTCACTAGTTCCTAAATATTCTTCTGTCTTATAAACGTATTATAATCCCTAAAAAATACCTACAAACAAGAGAGTTGAAACATCAAACGAAAAACGAAACCTAATACCAAAATACTGAATAGGTACACGAACATATTACAAGTAGAATGACTAATCCGATATCATTCCATTTCAATAACGAACTTGTCACAACGCGCCATAGCGTCCAGTGACACAAGTAATAGGTTTGTGTGAAATTTGGTAACAGGTACACGGAATAGGCAGGAGAAACCTATTCCAAAGTAACAGGTCCAGTTTCATTGTAACAGCCATGAGTACATGTGAGCTCTGATTGTCGCAGATTATCTTACATTGCCATACCCAACAAACTTTATTGTCTGTTTCTCACAGATCCCTATAAAACAAAAAGAGGAAGTATGAAATCTGAAAATGGCAATATAGGAGAATATTACTGTCAACATCTAAGTGGTTGTTTTTTTTTTTTTTATTTTGATATTATTTATAATTTATAATAACTTATTTTGAAATGTATGAATTTATGAGAGCATACCGTCCAGGGTGAACGTATAATGAAAAAGCCATAAAAAAAAACAAACATCTATGATGGTATTCGCGAGCGTTTTCCATCAAGTTTCGGGTACAGTAGAAATGTGTTCCGGATTTACAAAAATTTAAGAAAGTTGTTACCAAAAACGAAAATAGTCACCGCTGCCGAAAAATATTTATTTTATACCGTTAAAAAAAATTTGGACTGAATTACAAAACGATAATAGTTTTCCAAAAAATATCGTATAATTTTTTAATTTTGAGTATGGCCGAAACTAAATTTAATGATTCTAGATGAAAACAATAGGAATTACAAATAAGCTAATCACTTGTACAAGGTGTATTTAACTTAATTTTTGTTAAAAAGTTATCTAGAAAACCCAATATACAAACGATTAGACTCCTACTTAGAATTTCTTGTTTTAGCCAAAAATCAAATTGATTTTGTCATTTACACCTGAGGGGGTGCCCTGTAATCAGGATTACTGAAGTTTTTAAGAAGAATAATTTTTATCAATTTAAAAATATAAACCTGTTCAAATGCTGGCGTCAACTCAAAACAGTTTCTAAACAAAGTAACTCTGGCAAATATGTACAATCCTAATCTGGCACGTGACATTGCTACTACCAATCGACGAACATCTCTTAAATGTCCCACTGCTTTTGTTCTCACTAAAGAAAGGATTATGTAATCATTTTGTTGACCTTGGTATTTGTCTACGGTAGTAACCTGAAAAAGAAAAATATATTTGGTTTACCAATTTACTCGAATGAAACGAATCAATTTTAGAGTAAAGCAGCCTGCAAAAAATAGCTTATTAACTGATGGATTGGATTTTATTTTAAAAATGGAATGAGCTTATTCTGAAACCTTGTCGATTGTCGTTCACTTAACCCCTTGGACCTTGTTTAACCATATCTCGATATTTTGTCATTCTGTTATAAATTCAATTCAATTTTTAAATCGATGATGGCTATGAAAGTCAAATATCGCTCAACCTGTATAGTAAATCTGACACTGTCAACATTTTTCATAAACAGTATAAACAGCCTACTAAAAAATATAAAGTTGCCACATTGCATCTTGCTATTATTTTGATATTTTAAAGCATTTCATTAAATATATTCAAAATTTTAACCAATCAAAAGATGTGAATCTGTTGCGCTATAATACAAAGGCTAACAAAAAGAAGTAGACAAGAGCCAAATAAATCCCCACTAAAACATGAATACAATTAATAAACCGAGGGGTGGGTGAACCACTCCCGAAATACTGGTATGTTTTCACCGAAATCACCGAAGTTACTACAAATTTTCTCGAAATTACCGAAATCATCATCGAAGATCATGATCATCCTCACCGAAATCAAATATGTAAATACAGCCTGCAGCATGTGGATCAAAAAAAAAAAGAAAAAGAAAAGAAAAAAAATTATTTTCGATTTTACAAAATTACCGAATAATCTATTTCAAAGGTAATACGAACAAATAATAGATTATTTAAAATATTCGATAATTCGTTAATTATTTTTTGAAACAGCTATTTATAGGTTAATCGGTTTTTAATTAATCGATTTTTTTCAAAGATCGAATAATCAATTTTAAAGGAAATACAAAAAAAATAGATTCTTTGAAAATAATAGATAATTCAGTTATTATTATTATTACTATTATTATTATTATTTTTTTAATCGATTTCTCGTAGAATCGGCTTCTTGGTTAATCGATTATTTAAAATAATCGATAATTCGGTTATTTGTTTTTTTGGAAAAACGATTTAAAGGTTAATCGGCTTTTTATTAAATTATTTTTGAATAATCGATTATTTTCGATTTTTCAAAGATTATCGAATAATCTATTTCCAAGGAAATACAAACAAAAAATAAATTATTTAAAATATTCGATAATTCGTTTATTATTTTTTGGAAACACCGATTTATAGGTTCAATGATAATGGAAAAATAGATTTTAAAGAAAATACAAAAAATAATGGGTTTATTGAAAAATCGATTTGTTGTTTAATCCCTTTTTTCATTAATCAATACTTTGGTTTTCGGTTTTTCAAAGATAAAATAATCAGTTTTAAAGGAAGTACCAAAAAAATAGATTATTTGAAAATAATCGATAATTCGCTTATTTTTTTTTTTTTTTTTTTTTTGAAAATCCATTTCTCGTAGAATCTGCTTCTAATTAATCTATTATTTTCGATTAATTCGGTTTCCTATTTGGAAAAAACGATTTAAAGGTTAATCAGCTATTTAATAAATCATTATTTTTGATTAATCGATTATTTTCGATTTTTCAAAGATTATCGAATAATCTATTTCAAAGGAAATACGAACAAAAAATAGATTCGATAATTTGTTTATTATTTTTTGGGAACACCGATTTATAGGTTAATCGGTTTTTAATTGATCGATTATTTTCGATTTTTCAAAGATAATTGAATAATCGATTTTAAAGAAAATACGAAAAAAAAAATAGATAATTTGAAAATAATTGATTGATCAAACATAATCGATTGATCGAAAATAATCGATTATTTTTAATGATTCAATGATTTCTGGAGATTTATGTGACATCCTCTATATTAATTAATATTCCCAAAGAAAGAAGCTTTAATATACCTTTTTCTGAGGCTACTATACAAAACAGCACATTTTCTCATTTTGACTAACTTTTAATATTAGAAAATAAAAGCTAATGAAATATTCTATAAAAGAACCATTGTATTCTCTTTACATAAAATTTCGTTGCATCTGTGTGATATTAGAAAATCACGTTAATTTTATTTCATAATAAAACATTCCATTAAACACCTTTTTAGTAAATCTAATAGTTCATTATGATTGTAATAAACAAAGTCCATCCCTGTCACAGCGTTCAGGTCTCCTCCCAATTCCCCCACTCCGTTAACCTTTCTTTAGAAATTGACAACATTCGCGAAGGTTAAACACCGTAGTATGTTACATCTCTGATCTCTTTTATCTAAGAAGCAAACATAAAGCTGTGTAGTTTTGATTACAAATAAACTATTTATAAAATAAGTTGGTGTATTTAGTGAATATAAATCAGAACAATTAAACTGTTAAAAATAAATAAATGCTGAAATAATCAGTTCAAATAAAGATAAATGTCATTAAAATAAAAATAATACTAAAAGCCAGTGTCACACAATACGAGCGACAACTTCCCTCAGGTGATTGGTTTTATTTAGCGTCTTCTTCCTGCTGGCCTTTGTTCTATAGCGCAACAAATAACCATTTTTTGGCTGGTTAAAATTATATTTGGTGTGGAACAGCCAAATGGAATACATTCGGTAATAAATAAATGGGGACGTGTTCGGAAAAACGCTCAGATACGTTGACTGGTATTTTTAGTTGTGTATTTTTTTAACAAAAACTTTTTATACAGTGTTTGTCATGTAACAATGGTCAATACAAACTTTTTTATTTTAAATGCAACACCCTGTATATTTTTCAATTTTTGGATCATGTACTATACCTAACTGTTTCGCAAATATTAAATGTTTTCCGATTTATTGCAAAAATTAACATTTTGAACATCTACATTGAGATGTGTTTTTTTTGTTACATTATCAAGAAATAAACAGTATTATTAGTTTTTGAGTGTGTTTAACGAATTTCTATAATCAATTTATTTTATTTTTGCAATAAACAGGTATAGAACATAGTAAATAAAATATGTCTAGAATTATCTGAAGAATTCAAAAACTGAAAAATATACAGGGCATTGCATTTAAAATAAGAAAGTTGGTATTGGCCACTGTACATAAAGATTTTGTTAAAATGAACAACTAAAAATATCAATCGACGTGTCTGAGCGTTTTTTCGACCACGCCCCCATTTATTTATTACCGAATTTATTCCATTTGGCTGTTCCACACCGTATAAGATTCACCAATGAATAATTTTAAAATATCAAAACCTCATTTTTTGGAATGACTTTCATATTCATCGCCGATTTGAAAAGAAACTAAATGGCATATAGTATACTTATTTCAAGGAAGTATATTATCGCACTTACCTTGTATGGCCTACCAATAAGAGGATTATTTGCACATCTGGTATTAATAACGTCTCTAATTAGATGTTTTTGCCCATTGTAGGTAGTTAAAATTGTTATTTTATTTGCTGGATAACCTATTAGTCGCATGTACATAAACAATGCTACACAATATTCGGCTTCAGCAAGATTCTAAAAAATAAATACATTTTCGATCAAAGTTACATGATTTACAAAAATATGAATTTATATACAAAATAAATTATTTAAAAAAATATATAGAAATGAACAGTATTCAAAATGTTTTATTACTTGATAAAAATATGGACTTGGTTCTGATTCTCCGACACCATTAAAATCTTGCACGTCTATTAATTGAAAATCGTAAGCGAATCCAGGATTTGCAAGTTGATATTCTAGGGAATTTTCGACGTGCTTCAAATTGCCCAAATTTTTGTACCTCCATTTATATAGATTGCAGATGCTAAAATTATAATGTTTGTATTTTTTTTTTTAAATATTTTAAACATAATGAAATTAAATTTAAAACAGAGTTTTTATGTTAACATAAATCTTTTAAAATTGAAATAGAACTATTTAATTTAATCAATACGACCAACGAGAAGTGGCTCACGTGATGCTTAGAAAAAGATAACAAAACAACTAGAGAGAGATCAAAATGATTATTGAAGAAGTGATCTATCTTCTCCAATGTTTACGCTGATCCTATTGCAATAATTTTGTTTCAATAAAGAAACAGGTATCTTATTAATATACAAACCTGGGTCTAGCTCGACCTTGTCCGTCCAGTTCAATGGTCGGTACACCTAATCTAACGAGTCTGGTAAATAAGCTTTGTTCCATGTTTGAATACTTTTGAAAAGCCATGTTTTTAATAACAGGTGGTAATTGATGATGATCTCCAATCATAATCCATCGTTTTAATCTATTAAATCCATCCTGAGGATTCTGAAGTAAAAGCGGAATAAACGTTTCGATTTCTAAAATTTGAGCAGACTCTTCCATGAGTATATTATCATATCTGAAACCTAAAAAGTAAACAAATACAAAGTATTTCAAGGATAAACATTTTAAGGTAATTATAGAAAGGTTTATTAAGCCGAAAGAAATATCCAGAAAAAGCTTAAATGATAATCGGAACTCTTGCAAAGAAAACTAAAACTATAAAAAATATTAGTTTTATTATCTAGCATTGAAATAGTCGTGGTAGAGCTTTATGTATAAACATACAATTGAATTTATAGATGTAACATAACGTATCACGTTTAGAAAGGTAACGACATTCAACTACTTCAAGCCTAACTCCGACATGGGATTAGCTGTGAGCATAAAAAATTGTTAATAGTCCATATATAATTTGAAATAACGCCGATAAAGCTTTATAGATTTGGTTACATTTTATTTTAATTAATTTGTTTTTAATTTTATCGCGGCCTAGCCAAATTTAAAATCTATTTAAGACTATAAGACCTAAAAATTCGTTATTGACTAGGAACATAAACATTGCTCGAGATAAAAAATGTCACTTTCGTTTACACAGTCTTATTTTATATGTATGCGGTATTGCCAAATTAATAAAAATATTAGTTTTTTATTATTATTTAATATTATTTTTATTTATTATTATTATTATTTAATAAAAATATTAGTTTTTTTATTAATTTAAGGGCATTAACTTTAATAATTTTGAAAACGGATACGAAATCAGCATCAATTTCTCTAAAATATTCCCAATTTAACTGTCCCACATATTGTGATGTTTGTTTACTTTAAAACAACAGTTTATTTATTAATAATTTATTTAAACACTTATTTTTTATAACACTACTATTTCTAATTTATATAAATTTCGAATGTCTTTGAATCGTTCACTATTTATATTCACAGTCCAATACTTTATTGTCAGCTGTCTATATATCACTGATTACTATTTATCTTCACTGTCCATATAATAACTAACTTTTGTTGGTCCTCCACCAATATTTATATACAAATTGGTGGTCTAGAATGCTCCTCCACCAAAATTACCAGAATATACCAGAAACGTTATCACGTTATATTTAGACTAGAAATAGTATCTCGTTGACTCTGGAATGTTCTCGAAAGTGTCTCCACCATAGTCGTCACATAGGTTTGGTCTTAAGGGGTTTAATTATGTATAATAATCGGACAAGTTGAGCCTCAAAGGCCAAATAAGACAGAAAGGGACTTGGAGGGTTAGAGCATGACTGAACAATGAAATGGCTTACATAACAATATCTTATATTAAGCAAGATATCAATATAGAGACCCGAAATTAGAAAAAATAATATTTTACTTACCAATTTCAACGAGTTCTTTTCTTTTTAAAGCTGCATGTGTACATGTCATCGCAATAATTTTCGCTTCTTTTACTAATAAATACTTGGACCGATCCAAACCAGATCGCAAGAGTTCAAAAGCTCGGAATTCCTCCAGTTCTTTGAAAATGTGATCTATGTATCTGAAGCAACCTTCGGCTATTTCGAGATCTTCTTCAAATGACTGTTGTTTGAACAAAGGCTGAGGAGCGTTGCTGAAGAAATCGTGGAAGGGAAAGTCGTCTTTTATAATGTTTATTGGAATGGCCTACAAAGAAAATGTTATTAAATTAATAAAAAGTGAGTAATTATTGTTTTAAGACTCTTTTGTGAGTCCAATAAATAATTTAAACAGAGAACATTCACTTTTGAAGCATCACATTTTGTACTTTGTCGAATATTATTAGAGTGTTCAAAAGAGGCTGGTAATATTATGATTAACCTCATATCGTTTTAATTTCCATTAAAAACAAATTTGTTATATCATAATACGGCTTTTCCATATCAATATACCCTCAAAATTTCGTCTAGTTGTCCGCGTTATACCTTATTTATTTTCATAAGTTTCGGTTTAAGTTTAGTGCTATAAATAACGGTGTGCTTAAAATACAATGCATTTCATATAGAGCCTATTTTATGCATTGCCGCACTGAATTCATTAAATATATAAATTTTCACTGCAAGGAACTTTTGATCAATAACCAACATGGCTTCTGTCAAAATAAATCTACAATTACAAATCTATTGTTATACGAACAAAATATATTAAATGTTTTAGAAGCTAAAGAGCAAGCTGACTCTGTTTACACAGATTTCGCTAAAGCGTTTGACAGGATTGATCATGAAACATTGTAAACGAAACTAGTCATTCGGTATACCATTTCAGCTGGTGAAATGGTTTAAAAGTTTTTTGACAGGTCGAAGTCAGCAAGTTAAAATCGCTAGTAATAGATCAAGATTAATTAGGGTTTCCTCAGGTGTACTACAGGGCTCTCGTTGTTCACCACTTTTATTTAATATATTTATTACCGATATAATAGAATGCTTTAAACATTGAGAGTTCTTAATGTTCGCGGATGACTTAAAGTTGTATAGACCAATTTACTCATTCAGAATGATCTCCACAACTTAGTTAAATGGTGCGACCATAATAACCTACAGTTGAATGTTAATAAATGTTGCTTTATAAGCTTTTTGAAGGGAACAAAAAGTGCAACTCACAATATTACATTAATGATAAGCCACTATCTCGGGTTAATTCAGTCAAAGATTTAGGAGTTATTTTAGATGAACAATTAAGATTTATTGAACATATGCTTAGGGTTAATATTGCGTAATTGTTCTGATTTCTCTCTATAAGCCATAAAAAGAGTTTATCAAACATTCGTTGTACCTCAGTTGGAGTATGCTTCTATAATTTGGTCGCCACAATATCATATACACTGTCTAGTAGTGGAAAGAATACAAAATAAATTTATAATCATAATTATAGTAGGATGTTAAATGAAATGAATATGAGCCGACTTGAGTACAGAAGATTTGAATTGTATCTATAGATTATTAAATGGTCTAGTCATATGCCCGGAACTCATAGAAATGATTTCTTTCAATATTCCTAATAGAGTCCTTAGGCAATTAAATATGTTCCATGTTCCATTTCACAATACAAACTATGGCATGCATTTACCTATTGAAAGAACATTGAGGGTAATAAATCAATTGAATATTGAGGTTACAGGCATTTCTTTTAATAAATTTAAGGCAATCTGTACGAATACATTGGAGTAAAAATGTATTATTACAGACGGATTTACAATACTTAAAATGCATTTATTAATCTACAACTTATTTGACTTAATTTTAACTTTTTTTTTCTATCTTACTTGTATTTTTTCATTTACAATTATCTGTATCATTTTTGTGTTTTGCTTTGTAATGGGGTTGATCCCGTTTAAATAAATAAATAAATAAAAATAGACATACTTAAGTCAATTCTTAAACCACATATTAAATTTCTTTCTATATTACTGTCATTCTTAAACGTCAAATCAATTAATTCAAGTTTTTAAAACGAATTTAATGGATTTTATTTGAGTGGTTGAGTACTAAAGTGAAAATTATCCTTTAAGTTAAAATAAATGTGAATATTACACGAATAACAAACAGGATGGTGAAGTAACGATGATTTTTGCATGAGTTTTAACGAATGTCATAATGAAATTCGTATATAAAATTTATATGATCTAAAATATTCATTTTATATTAACTTAAGTGGTAAATGGATCAAATACTATTACATTGGCGAGTGTAAGGGGTAAAAGGACCAATTATTTTTACATATGTAGCCTGACAAGATAAAGTGGTCAAACATTTTTTATATAAGTAGGGGAAAAGAGGCCAAATATTTTTACATGCACAGACTTAAATGGTAAAGGATCCAAATATTTTTACATGGGCAGGCTTAAGAGGTAAATAACTCCACAAAAATTGTTTGAAGTTCAAATAATTTGCAAACCAGGGCAAGAAATGTGAAGAGCTTCTGTGTGATTTAGTCTAAGTAATGCAAATAATTTAAACCTCAAAATTCAATGTCTCATTACTTTTCAACATATTTCGATGTTGTTAAAAATCGTTTGACTGAGAGATAAGTCGAGAATCAATAATTATTAACCATTATCGATTTTTTTTTATTTCAGGGTAATATTTAAAAAATTTATAAGGTAATAATATCAGCGGATAACATTTTTGGGTTTTTTATTAATCGATTTTCGCTAGGTGTTAGTGGTTTGCTTATTACACCAATTTTACTTACCTTTTTGTTTTTAGGTTTCACGATACTCAAGAAATGTTCCCATCTAGATAATACTTGATACAAGTAAAAATGCCCTGCGGTTTCGCAAGTATACGCCACGTCACCTTCGACCTTCAAGGATTTCTGTAATTTCTCCACCTCCATCAATAGATCTAACCTTTTGGCCAACACATAGTTGACTCTACCGTATCTACTGAAATCCTTTTCAGTTTCTAAAGCTTCTTCTCCGTGACCCAAACGCAACAGATGTCTTTCGTCTATATCCAAAGCAACAATTTTGTCGAAAAGTTGATTTAGGGCCTGGTTAGAGTGCGTTACGATAAGCGTTCGTTGATTGGGAAAGTTGTGGTAAATGTTGGAGATAATTTGGACGGCGACGTCAGTTTTTCCGGTACCAGGAGGACCCACCACCAGTGTAAGGCCAGGCTGCATACCGGATTTGATAGCTTCCACTTGAGTTGGCGTGAATGGTATCATATTTCTAATATATAAAAAAGAAATAAATAGCAAATGATTATTTTTCAACAGAATTATAGTGTTATTGTTAACTATTAAGAAAAATTGTCATAAAAATGTAGTTGTATAAAAACGTACAATATTTGACGAGCATAGAATGATGATGAAAGTCTGTAAAACTTCCTAGTGAATAATAGCCACTACATTATGAAAGTGGAATAATAAAGTTTATCAAGAGACATAAATATGCGAATGATGATGACATTTCAATTGATCTAATTTCTTAATAATTAATTAAATTACTGTAAGTATACATTTTTTATTGAACAAAATATATTTTAAACCATAGATATAGAAACCACAAGATTTAAGCACCGTGATCGGCAACAATCAATCACATTCTAAGCTAATGTGGTGGATAAGATTACAGTCGATTTACCACATTGCCAAGTCTACCTAAATTACTTTCTAATAGTTGTCAGCAAATACGAAACCTCTAATATTCCTGTTATAAAATACTGTTAATATTAAGTACGTATAAGATCGGGTTGAAGCAACTTTTAAAATATTACAAACCAAATATAATCTTTGATAATCAATTATATAAAAAATAAGTACAGTGATAATAAAAATATCGGCCTAAACGTGGCAACAGAGGTTAGCTGCATCCCATTCATAAATTGTTCACGACTTATGTCGCTTTACTGTCGTTTTTGTACAAGGTTAAATAGTATCAGTTGTCAAATCGTGTTTATTGTTTCTTATACATTTTGGACAATATTAAACATTTTATTCTGCAAATATAGTTAGAAAGTGTGAAGTATGCAAAGAATTGGATTATCTAAATCCAAATGTATCGTTCCACAAGTAAGTTCAAATTGAAGTAAATTATAGGTTATATTTTTTAATATCTGTCACCCATTTTAACTATATAATTTAGGAAGACTAATTTCTGGAGACAGTTTTGTGTATGCAGCCATCGAAATAAAATAAAGTAGAGACGACATAATGGCGCGGCAATCTGTCGAAAGCGGCAACGAACATTTCGCTCAAAATGCACATAAGATTTTTTCTACGATCACATTTTTTTTAAAAAATAGATATAAAATCTAAAAATTTGACGTAAGTAGTGTATAATGTGTTGTCTATATCTAAATTAATCATGAAAAACGGAGTTGATATTCAAAGTCTTGGATAATAAAACAAATAAAACATCAAACTATGTACAAATAACCTGAAAATCATTTATTAAAAAGAATTATTATAATATTATATCAAATTTAAATTTGGCGAGCAACAAAGCTGTCAAGTTTTCCGCTCGGCGAGCGACAAAGCTGTCATTTAATGTCAGTTCGCGGAAAACGTCAACTTTGCGGTTGTATTTCGAAGCACAAAAGCCTACTTTGGATAGTGATCGTAGAAGAACACTATTTTGTGATAGGACAGAACGACACACTTCGAGTGACGGAAAAGTGTAATGAAAATGGCGACTTGAGTACTACTTTGATTTCTTTGAAGTCAATAATTTTATATTTGAAGATTGATGGAATCAAAATGATTTTAAATCATTTAAATGAAGCTATTTAACAAAAATGGCATTTATTTTCACCAAAGCTGACTAGCTTCACTATCTCGAGTATGACATATGACGTAAAAGTGTATGGCAAAGGTGCGGACACATAAACATCGTCATAGCATCTCCTCTTTCTCAGTGTGTGCAGCACAATGAGAAACTCAGTGTCTTCTTCTTTGTCTTACATTGAAAGTAAAATTTTAGCAATTTTTTTAACTATTTCAAAAATTTTAATTATAAATAAATATTTTTGGAGCGGGTTGTACAATAGGCACATAAAATGTATACTTAGTTAAAACTGTTTACCTCGTTGTATAATCATCAATTTTATTATTATTAAACACAGTTTTAAAAATTACATTTGTACTTTGAATATAAGCAGTTAAAAATTAAACTAAATTGAGTTTACAACCTGCCCTTAGTGGGATTTTCACCTTGAACTTTCATATAGAACATCAATGTAGTAAAAAGAAACAAGCATACTTACTTTTTTGGTTCATTAAAAAGATATGGACCTCTTCTAGGAATAACATGAGGTTCTACAAGAATTACTTTTTTAATTTCGTCCCCTTTTTCTTTCTCTTCTTCGTTTTTATCATCTTTTCCGAGATTTTCAAATGTAATTTTAAAAGGTCTGATTAATTTTTTCGGATCGTCTGTTTTGATATTTATTTTGTACTCTGGAAAACACGATCTCAGGTGATCCATATCAATGAACGTATCGTTGTAATCCATAGTAGGTATTTGATTTGGTAAATTATTGTAGTTGGCGGCGCTCGGATCACCGTAACCCAAAATTATGTCGTGTAGCCATTCGGGTACGACACATTCTGTGTTCATTAGTTCACGAATTGTTTCTAGAACTGCTTTGAAGTTGTTTTCTTTGGGTTTTCTTCTCATAAGTATATTGAAACCTTCAATAATACAATGAAAACATTAGTCATACATAATTTAAATTAAATGCGGCGGTATAGGAGTTTGTTTGTTCATGCTCATCTAAATAATATTCTACCCATAATTTACCCCTTATGAGTGAATCTTAACCCCAAAAACTGGCTGAGCTTGCCCGGGGAAGGGAGAAAACCCGGAAAACCTCACCCACCATCATCGAAACGATATAGCATGGCGATTTAAAATTTGGATGTCATATCAACATAAATTGCTAATAATCCATCAAATCCTAAAACGAATTATGCAAATTAATTAAAAATTCACATGGTTTGATCTAAGATCTAAAGCCGCGTATCGCTCAACCACAAATATGCCTGTAAATGAATTCGGCGCTCGAGACAACTGCGCTTCCGAGACACTAGACAAGGTTTTTACCATTTTAGTTAGAGGTGAGATGTGGTAAGGATAAATTCAGCTTCATAAGATTAAGGAGGGAAAATAAAGCAAAAAAAAATTGGACGACCATAACTTCATTACTTAAATATTTACTGTAGGTATCAGAAAAAGTGTATAGCATCAGATTTGTTAAATTATTGCGGCCACATTGGATTTTTAAAGAATAATATTAACCTTTAATAAACTATATTTTAAACGAGGTGCAGTATGGCATTAAAATTTGAAAGAAATACCCTTAAATTAATAGAAAACTAATATTTTCCTTGATTTGTATATTTGTATAGCAAGTAGCACGTGAATTTATTTGTTTTAATATTACATATCTTGACCTACCACTAAAAAAACTTAAAATATTCATGGCCTACCATGTGAAGATATTCATTCTTCCGATATAATAGGATTATAACAAGATTTTTATAAAATTTGAGTTTGGAAAGATTAAAAAAGTTTCAAGTTTAAGTTTAAATTTTCGTTTTTAAAATTTAATTGCAAAAAAAACATAATACGTGCTTATTTGTTAAAAACCCCAAGTACATTAAGAATAACATTTATTTTTAAGATAAGCAACAATTAAACATTTTATTTTGCCATAATTTATATAATGAAACGAGTTCTTCTTTTAATACATGGCAACTCTGTTTCATATACCTGACATTTTTCTGCTACATGGTTGTTGACGAATTTTAGTTTAGAGATAAAAATTCAAAGCCTATCACCGAAATCAAATACGCTCCTGTGCGAATATACAGGGCGTCCCATTAGTGTGCAATTGTTCAATATTTCAATTTGAAGAGTACAGGGGAAAAGGGGCTCATCGAGAATTTCCGAAAAATACCGATATTGTGCCATTTTGTACTTTGTGATCTTACTGGCGATATTATCGAAACCGGCAAAAAGGAGCTTCTTACCAGCTATATCGGTATTTAAAAAAAGGTGTACAGGGCAAGAACGGGCTCATTTAGCAGATGCAGACAAGAAGGGGCTTATTGCGTGAGAAATTATTTTGCGCGAGGATTTTGCCACATGTTTAACTGTTTGACATACTGATTTAGAAGTTATATTCACCTATTTGTTTACATGACACGTTCTTGAAAGAAGTGATAATTAAAAATGAGTATCAGTAGTGATGATAATGAGTTTGAAGATGGTGTAGAAGTAAAGAAAACGAGAAAAAGGAAAATAACCGGAAGAATAAGAGATGTTAGGAAAAAAATTAAAACTATGTCACATGAAATGGGACCAGACTGCAAGTGCCAAAAAAGTGTTTTAAATTAGTGCCACAAGAGACTAGGATTAAAATTCTGCAACGATTTAATCTTCTACCATCTACTAACGCACAAAATGTATACTTTTGTGTACTAATATCCATCTTGCCCGTCCAGCAACCATCAAAAAAAGAAGTAAGTAAGCATTATGAAGCCACTTATAAATGTCGATTAAGAGGAATGTTTAATGATGCTGTGAAGTATGCCGTAAAGCTTTTATATTTGTTCATGGTATCACGAAAAAAAAGTTGAGTATCTAGTAAAGAGCCTCAAATCGACTGGATCAGCACCGGAAGACAAACGTGGCTTGCATGGTAAACAAGAGAACTCGCTTAGCATTGAAACAAAAAGTGCAGTCCGTGAACACATTAATTCATTTAAGGGCAGAAATAGCCATTACAGCTTGAATAGGACCTCAAAACTTTATTTGCAAGAAGATTTGTAAAGAAGATGTACAACATGTTTTGTGAGCTCCATCCAACTATTAAACTGTCCTACGAAAGTTATAGAACTATTTTTATTCATGATTTCAACATAGCTTACGGGTACCCACGTACTGATACATGTAGCACGTGTGATGAGTTTGTGGCAAAGTTAAAAGGTTTAGAAGCAGAAAAAAGAACAGCAAGCAATGACGAAGACGTCGAGAAAATAACAAAAAAAAAATATTGAGAGCATTACTATAGAAAACAATATTCACAAAAGAAAAGCCGAGACAATCTATAAAAGAAAAAGAGATGCAAAAGATGTATGCAAAAAATCTGCACATATGGAGGCTATATGCACTGATTATGGTAAAAACCTGCCAGTGCCCAACATTCCTACGAACTATGCCTATTACAAGAGGCAATTGTCGATTTATTCGTTCAATGTTCAGCTCGAGAAGTGTATTCTACGTATACGAGGATGGGATGAAAAGTTTCCGGCCTAACATAGAACGCAACACAATAGTGACTGAATAAGAATTTATTTTTCTACATAGTCCCCTTGTTGGGTAATACATTTGACCCAACGATGTTCAAGCGATTTAATACCGTCACTGTAGTCTAATTTATCCAATTCGTCAAAATAGGCGTTTATGGCTGCAATTACTTCTAAATCCGTGGAAATTTTTTTGCCAGCAAGAATTTTTTTTAGGTTTGGAAAAAAATAAAAGTCTGACGGGGCTAGGTCTAGCGAATACGGAGAATGGTTTAACAGTTCAAAGCCTGGCTGATGCATTTTAGTCATTAGAAAAACGGACTTTGCATTGTCCTGATGAAACATATATTCTGCTTAAGCTGGTTCAGTAAGTCGCTGTAGTACTCGGAATTTATTGTTCTTCCCTTTTCGAGATAACCTATTAGGAGTATCCCTTTAGCATCCCAAAAGACCGTTGCCATGACCTTTCCTGCAGACGGTACTGCCTTTGCCTTATTTGGAACTGGTTCGTCCTTTGCCGTCCACTGTTTGGACTGTTGTTTAGTTTCAGGGGTATAATGATAAACCCATGTTTCATCAACCGTAATAAATCTACGCAAAAAGTCTCCTGCATCACGTCTAAACAGTGCCAAATTCTCCTCTGAAATGGTTAGCCGCGTGGCTTCTGATCTGACGTGAGCAAACGCGGCACTCATCGAGCGGATAGCTTTCTCATACCTAAAACTTCACACAAAATATAGTGAAGTCGCTCTTTTGATATGCCCACAGTCTCAGCTACCTCTTCCAATTTTAATCTGCGATCTTTTAGAATTAGTTTGTGAACGGTTTGCACCATTTCTTCAGAAGTTGCCGTTTTTGGGATGCCAGAACGCGGAGCATCATCAGTGCTAGTACGACCACGTTTAAAGTCCTCTACACAGGTTTTAACTGTGGTAAATGAAGGAGCAGATTCCCCTAGTGTAGCATCTAGTTCAGCTTTTATTTCCGTCGGCGATAATCCTTTGATATGGAAATATTTTATCACCGCTCTTATCTCGTTTTTTTCCATCTTTTAAAAGTGGCGCACTTTATAAGCTTTTAAAATACCCAGGACACAAACTACTTGACGCACTCACTTTAAACTTCGAGCGTATACTGACGACAAGCTACTATAGGTTAGACCGGAAACTTTTCATCCCATCCTCGTACGACCAAACTGAAGGAAAAATGGGAAGCAATGATGTTTGATCTATGCTCCATCATTTTATCTACAACTTTTTGGACAATACAGTGACAGAGCTACAGCTATTTTGTGACTCCTGCAGTGGTCAAAAAAATAATTTTACGATGTTCCGATTTTTACACCATTTGGTAAATATCGAAAGAAGATTACAGAAAATAAAAGTCACTTTACCAATATGGGGCTGATTAATACTAAGTACGTTTGTAAACCATCCGGTTTTCATCATAAAAAAAACCCTGGAATATTTAAAAAAATTCTAGGATTGAAGACAGTATTATCAAATCATTCTAAAACTGAAAAAATATACATTTTTATTTTCCAGGCAAAAATGTAAAAACCCTGTATATCCAAAAATATTTTTAAAGTACGTATTTTGTAAATACATATAACTTTTACTTTAAACTTGTTTTCGTATCTATAACACAAATTAAAATATTTAACAATTACGCACTAATGGGACACCTTATATAATAAAGGATAAAATAATAAGAAATTACCTTCATACACGTCGTCTTTTCCTTGATTAGTTTTATTCATATCGTCTCGGTATTGATTACAATCTAACCAAACTCGATAAGTTCTCTGATCTCCGGGTAAGACTGGCCTCGGTTCCGGTCCATCTTCTATTACCCTTCCGCTGGAATCTAACATACCTTCGACTTCACAACCTCTGATATATTGTAAACCAACTTGGGGCAAAAAAGGTTCTTTATAATTGTATTTTGTTCCTAAAAAGATTAAATTAATAATAGTCAAAACTATTAAAATGTGCTTTTTATACATGTATAAAGTTAAAATAGGGCCCTCTCAGGACAATAATTTCGACCAATGGTGTTCCAGTATTTACAGTAGTAGTTAAAAGTTCGCCTAAAAATTTTACTCCATTGAATTAATATAGATAATTCATTTTTTATATATCTTATTAAATTTTATATAAAAAAGGATAATGGATAGTTTTCAAGAGAAACAGTTATTTGGGAATATACATTTCAATCCAATTTTTCATATCGCCCCTTAACACTACAACTAGGTAACTCAAAATTTGTTATTTTTCAGGAGAGCATTTCTAAATTTGCTAAGAAGAAAAAGAGACGTGTATTACCTCAAATCGAAATTATTTTTGACTATTTCGCAGGTAGTTGAAATGAATCTAAATCCTGATTATTTTTAAGCGGTTTAAATCCTTGTTTTCATTTTTTGTTATATAAAAACAAGTTATCTAGTATTACCAATTCAATTCTTAAAAAAAAACAAATAATATATTTATGTTCTGAACTAGCAATGAGTACAACTTTTTATTGCTTAAAAGATAATGAAAAATAGAGAACAATTAAATAATTAATGTAATTAATAATAAATCTTCCTCCCTCGCTCTCGCTTACGTTGGAATCATCAGATACTTCCCTTCCAGTTTGTTTAAAAGGGAGTTTTTCAAAATAGGCTTCATTTTCAATGGGAATTGGGGGAGGTTTGATGTTTAATAATGACAATAGAACTTCGCTAGTGCAAAATTCTACCGGTAATAATGGATAACTCAGAATCACAAAAAATCAAGATACCTAAGGGGATACTTTAGGGGACATCAAACTAAGCAAGGAATTCGAGAAAAGCGTAAAAGTACTGGAATGTCATTGGTAGGCCCCACTAATAAATAATACAATGATTAGGCTTGTACTTTGAAGCCTTGGATATCAACTAAGTGTTCGTGCATTTTGAATGAAAGTTTCGTTGTAAATTTGTCCGTAAAATTCTGAACCATTCTGTATAAGAGGGATGTGGTAACGATATATTTTTATTCAGGTACTCAGAAAATTAAAACCTTGAATGTGTTTACGTATGCATCATCATTACACTCTTCACACACTAGTCTGCGAAGAATATTATAGGTTTACTTAAAAGAAACCAACGTTTTTAATATTGGTTCTATTTTAAAAACGTTTGTACCAAAATCATACTCATAATTTTTTAAATAACTTTTAAAAATGTCCGTCCATTCGTCCGTCTGATGTCACGTTTTTTGTCCAAGTCAAAAACGAAAAATGACATCAACTTGAAACTTTCAGGAAAAATCAAGCTCTATAAAGGACCGAAGCCTATCGATGTTGAAATAAATTTGAATAAAAATGGGGAGTTAAGGGGGTTGCAATATTAAAAAAAAAAAAATCAAAAACAAAAACCGTAATCAACATGAAATGTTTGGTAAAAAAATCAATCTTTATAAGGAGATGAAGCCTACCTATCGATTCTAAAAAAAATTAAATAAAAATAGGGGATAAAGGGGGGTTGAAATGTTTAATAAAATCCTCTCAAAAACGAAAAATAATATTAAATTTTTAGTAAAAACCAAGCTCTTATAAGAAGACAAAGTCTATTGATTTAAAAAAATCTGAATAAAATGGGGGGTTAAGGCAATACCTCCTTTAGGAGGTATTGGTTAAGGGGAGTTGAAGTAAAAAGATAGAAATCAACATGAAATTTTTAGTAAAAATCAAGCTCTTTAAGGGGAATGAAGCCTATTGATTCTGAAAAAAATTTGAATATAAATGGGAGGATAAGGGGTTGAAATATTGAACAAAATCCTAACTCAGAAACAAAAAACGATATCAAATTAAAATCTTCAGGAAAAATAAAGCTTTATAAGGGAATGAAGCCTATTGATTGAAAATGAGGGTTAAGGGGGGTCTGTTAAACTGTGAAGAGTCTAATATAAAATGCCAAGTATTATAATATAATAATATTATATCTTCATTCTAGTTTAATTGATTAATGTTGCGGATTGGCTCATATTAATTGTTATTGAATATTTTTACTCTTTTCGATTTTTGTAATCGATTCATTCCTACCTTATGTTTCGAACGAAAATTGAGAACGGTCGAAAAGTGCCAATACTGCTGGCCGGCTGATCGTCACCACCCGTTGTACAACTAAGGCAAGTCCAAACATAAGGAATTATTATCCCATTACGTAATTACAGTCCAATTAACTCGAACCAAAAAAAGATTGACTGAGACAACAGATTATGACAATCAATTTAGTTATATTATTTATTAATGATAGGTCGCTTAGTACGTTACGTAAAAACAAAAACACTTTTTTAAGCCTGCAAATTTGAAACAAATAAGAACCGACCTAACATTTTTGTATTTTTAGTCTTGGAAATAAGTTTACTTTATATGAACCAAAAATTTGAATGTAACGATTTTGGACTTTTGAATGTCCATTTTTCAAAAACACAAAATTACGGTTTTGTCCATCCAACTGGGTAGACATAAATATTATTTGTGTTCATCCAAATGGGTGGACAACAACCGGTCTAATTATTTATTGATAGTGGCGCCATCTGTACTGTGGGGGAGGCAGGCTAACATATGATTCCCACATATGATTCTCTATACAGTATACAGGGTCCAGAAATGTTCTATAGATGTAGAAACCTGTAATAGGTCAAAATTTGTTTTTGAAAATCAGCTGATTTTTGTCCACCCAAATGGGTTGATACTTAGTTTTGTATGTTTCAGTGTACTTTCTCATTTGCAAAGTATAATAAAGGTATAAAATGAATTTAGCCTCAGCCATCGGCCACTGGAGTTCAGATGAAGAGCCATTTCAGGATTCTGGGAGAAAGTACGTGTGATTCTTCTGGAGACAGTGACACGAATGATAATATTGTGAACGATAATACAGCAAATGATGCAGTGTGGAGCGACTGCAAAAATAGACAACCTGCATTTCCCTTCACAGATCAAGGAAAAATAAATGTACCATTTGATCCCAAAAATGCAAAACCCATTGATTATTATCAACTTTTTATATCAGACGAAATATTTGAGTTGATTGTTAGAGAAACAAATAAAAATCCAAAAAGTTTTTGGAAAATAATACTATAAGAAAAAGTAGAAGGTATCGAAAATGGACAGAAACAAACGTAAAAGGTCTTAGAATATGGATGGGCTTAGAATATGGATGGGTCTGGTGCATATGCCATCTCTGGAGTCCTATTGGCCTGATAGAACAATATATAAAAATGAGATGTCCTCGTTTATGACCAGAAATCGTTTCAACTACTACTTCGATTTTGGCACTTTGGTGAAGATGTTGAAGGTGACAGACTATGTAAAATACGGCCACTGCTTGATCGTGTTCAAGCAAAATTTAAGCAAGTTAAAATACCAGATCAGAACTTAGTAATTGATAAATCAATGGTTGCTTTTACTGGAAAGCTAAATTTCAAGCCGTACATTCCTGGTAAAACGCATAAGTATGGCGTTAAGCTATTTAAACTTTGTGATCAAGTTGGATATACTTACAAGATCATACCATATGCTGAAAAAAAAAAAAATGAACAATATGTCAATCATGGAAGTCTTGCCACAAATACTGTTATATCCCTAATGAGCACATATCTGGGCCATGGAAGAATTGTATGCACTGACAACTTTTATACGAGTGTACCTCTTATAAATGAGTTGATTGATCAAAAGAAATATTTTGTAGGTACTTACCGCAAAAACCGAAAAGGAATTCCGAAAGAGGTTGGGTAGACACTGCATTTGTAAAGTACTAAAAATGTATGCTGTGCACCCAATCGGGTAACCAGATTTTATTTTTTTATTATGTTGTTTGTAGCCCTAGAAGCCCAACGGTATTTACAAAATCGTTGTACGATAACAAATAAGAAAGTTATTGATCTGGCAGTCAGGAGTAGTTCACGTATTTTTTTCTTGGCACCAGTGGTCAGTCGTTAAGTCCACCCAATCGGGTGGACGTGGCAGTCAACCTGTTAATGAAGAGCAAAAAAGCTCTAGAAAAATAACCCAACTAAAGAATAACAAGAGAGTGCGACCACTTTAAAGGGAGACAGGAATATTTGACAGGGAGGGCTCAACACCTTTTTATAAAAAAAGTTCAGGAATACATTCCAGAACCCCGAGGGGTAAAAATAAACAAGAGATAAATTGGTCCGGGTAACCTTATTTTCAATATTAACCATTAAAAATATATTGTCTGTTTATAAATTTTTGTTCGATAATACAATTTTATAAATAATAAAAATCGTGTGCCTTTTCTTTTAAACCTTATTTATTTTTTGTTTCAGAACACATATTTTAAAATTCGATAATAATTCTAACATAGAAGTTTTACCGACTGCATTAAACTGCTTGTACCAACCCTGGCAACTAAAACATATTTACAATGGACACCAGAATAATTTAAAATAAAATTTCAATGTAATATAATTCTCCCTTCAAAATCCTTTGATCTGTTACCGGATATCGCATCTGGGGTAATAAATATGTGTTTAAAATACTTAATTTCAGGCAAATACAAAATAAATTAAACAATGTGTAATTTACATATTTTATAAACCTACCTATAGAATTTGGTGGTTTCAGTGTTATCAAGAAACATACGTCGTGTTTTCGTAAATTCTCCCATTCAGATTTGATCTCTTGCCTTACATTTAAGTTAATTGAAACGTCTGCTCTTACTCTGCTCGGTCTCTTTTCTCCTATGTTGGGTTTTGCTACTTCAACTACGGCAAAGTTAATAATTGGTTGCGCCATTCTTGCCCATCCTCCCCAATAAATGCTTCCATCTTCAGCTCTCCTAAAATTAAACAGATTTGAGTCAAAATATTACTTCTAAATTTTTACAATGGTTGCCAAATGAAAGCTTATCATTGCTGATAAACTCTTAAAGTTGGTTTGGAACAATTTCCTTAGGAGTATCATTAACAAACATTTTTGGCCTAGAGAAACTATTTGTGCTAGCCAAATTGATGTCGGGTATCATAAGTATAAAGGTATGTAATTACAACAAGGTATGTAAGTATAACAGAGGGTCCAGAATACTTCCTTGCGGAACTGCCTGGATTATTTTCAGAATTAATTTAAAATGAGAACTTAAAAATAGTTGTTTGTTATATTGAGTGGTTAAAATATATAATAAAAAATCACATTTTTTAAAATTTATTTAAAAAGTTTTCATTAGTACCAAAATATTACAATATGAGTCTATAATACGCAACAATAATAGAAAAATAGTAATCAATTTGATGCTTTCTTAGAATTGGTACAAAAATCTGTTTCTTCAGGCAATCCCATTAACATGCACAAACACTTAGAGAGGTTAGTCATTTTTTAGCGTGGGATTTTATATTGATACACATTGGTTTTTACAGCTGACTCCGGAATGATCTCATTTAATTTAAATCTGTACCAGTTAAGCATAAACACATTATGTTTTATAGTTATTTCTCGGTAATTAGATCAATAATAATTAAAATTTATATCACACACTTACCAGGGGCTTAATCTACTGACTGCATCTTCTATATCTTGTCGAATTTCGTCTAAAATTAAAATAAATAACAATGAAACGTTTCACGTAATATTTATTATATAAATTAATTTTTACATACATGTCGATTCCAGTCTAAAAAGATTAAAATTTCTTAGGAGATAATCGTGGAGTGTCAAAAATTGCAAATTCAACTTTGGTAACGCTAAACAACCTTCTCCGGAAAAGTAAGACGTTGGTACGACGTTTTCATCCCAAATTATGTTTTCGACCGGATAGAGTGGCATTTCGTTAAGAGCCTCTAGTTGTGAAGCGCGCTTTTCGTGCCGAGATATCTAAAAAATTATTTGATAAGAAAACCAAATAATGTTTCACTGTTTTACGAGATATAAACGACTATAACCTGTGTACTCTATTGATTTAAAAAAAAAATCTTAATGTCTGTACTTTTCTAAACTAAAAAGAACCAAAAAAAGAACTGGAATAGGAGTGTGCGTGCCTAAAACCAAGTACTCTGAAAGTTTAGGTAAATACCTAAGCATCTTTCAGGCAGACATTCGTATATACGAAATTATCATCATGTCTGATTGTCAAGTAGCCATCAAAGCACTGAGCTCTCAAGCAATCCGCTTAAAAATTATCTGGAAGTGCCTATAGGGACATTCCTACACTTACACCGAAGTAGCAAATCCGTACCACAAATGCTTCTACGTTATCACCAATAGAAGAAATTAAATAAGAATTGGGTAGTAGAAGAATCGATAATTGAAACGATCTTTTGTTCTCTAAGTTTATCGATAAACTGACAAACCCTATCATGTATTATTCAGATTGTGTCCAATAAAAACTCATTTAAACTATCGGGCACGGTGGTGTAGCGGTCTATCGCGCTTATATTCATTTATAGGCAAGTTTATGAGTCTGAGACTGCTGGGTTTCGAATCCCAGACCAGACCATGTGGATTTTTAATTAAATTGCATGGTTCGGTTTAGGATTTGATGTGTGGCGTATTAATAGAAATTCAATTTCTGTTGATATGACATGCAGATTAAAAAAATTCGCCATACATTACCGTCTCGATGATGGTGGGTGAGGTTTTCCGGGTTTTCCTCACCTGTAAGTCAAATGGCACCATCAATCATCTTTAAGTCGCCCCGGAGCGCCACGGCAAATAATAATAATAGCCGTCCCTTTCCCCGGACAAGCTCAGCTTTTGGGGTTAAAATTCACTCGTAAGGGGGTGAATTATTATTATTATTATTATTATTATTATTATTATTATTATTATTATTATTATTATTATTATTATTATTATTATTATTATTATTATTATTATTATTATTATTATTATTATTATTATTATTATTATTATTATTATTATTATTATTATTATTATTATTATTATTATTATTATTATTATTATTATTATTATTATTATTATTATTATTATTATTATTATTATTATTATTATTATTATTATTATTATTATTATTATTATTATTATTATTATTATTATTATTATTATTATTATTATTATTATTATTATTATTATTATTATTATTATTATTATTATTATTATTATTATTATTATTATTATTATTATTATTATTATTATTATTATTATTATTATTATTATTATTATTATTATTATTATTATTATTATTATTATTATTATTATTATTATTATTATTATTATTATTATTATTATTATTATTATTATTATTATTATTATTATTATAGTTGGGTGATACAAAGTCACTGTTGCTGGTAAGTTATTGATATTTCTCTTTAGGACACGAACGTTTTGTTCTTCATCTGAGTTCTTGACGAGTGAAATATAAGAACAGTGATATCAAATTGAAAAGTCAATAAAAAATGTACTTGCCGTGATCCCACATAATCTTACATGGCATGGAAACGACCGCAGACTACTAAAGAAACAGAAACCAACAGAAAAAGAAGACATAAGATAAAAAAGAGACCATTACCCGAAGACAATTAGAAGGACCACGAGGAGACACAGGAAAGTATCCTTTAAGCGTTGCCTCGGTCAGATGTAAGTGGTGTTTCGAAATGGTGGTCGACTGGTCTATATCTTGGTTTACATATAAGGACATCAGAAAGCCTGGTTTTTTACATTGGAGTCAATTTAACCTCCTAATTTAGTTCAAAATAATATTTTTGTGGAAGTTAAACTTTCAGTTTTTTGGGCACATCAACCAGATCTATGGTTTAAATGTGTTAGCGGTGCGCCCTTGCTCCCTACGACATACATAAGTTCATACATATGCATGTCAGGATGAACGAGCAGGAGAAGGAAGACCAGCGCAGTAAGCAGTACGCGAATAGAAAGTAGCGGTACCACGCCAACACTGTATTTTGAGAATTCTTGATTTTGAATTAAATCATTTAAAAAGAAGTTTAGACCTTTTATTAGGGATGATACATCCCACTCCAGATGTTTAAGTACTAACGGTAATCCCATGAATAAAAAATAAATGATGATGCGATGATAAATGAAACAGCGATGATGATATTTTTGATGTAAAAGTTTAAAATGCAGGTAAATGGAACCACATATTTATTTGATTATTGACGATTTTGATTCAGATTTATTAATATTCAGTGTCAATGGTCATGTAAAATGATGATTTGGTTTCATAAACATACATTTCATGTACACATATTATGACTAGATGTTTTTTGCAGCTCGTATTTGCTCGGTGCACTCCTTTTTCGAAGTGCCTTTGCAGCAGAGATTGTTGGGATACATGCCCATACATAGTCGATATTTGAAATCTGGTGCTGTGCCCACACTGACAGCCGTATGCATAGTCGATCGCCAGCGACTCGCCAGAGATTCATTTCGGCATATCGCCAGCGATTCGCTGGCGATCCGCCGGCGAAAGCCCAAAAAGCTGGCGACTCGCCGGAGATTGTTACCGGAATGTCATTTCACGCAAGTTTTCATGTTCTATTAGGGAAAAATTTGATATTCGTTCATCATTTTTTGAGTTTTAAGAAATGAATTATGAATAAAATGCGAGAGATACCGGTGATAATCCCTATAAAAGAAAATAAAAACTTGCGTGAAATGACACTCCGGTGACAATCTCCGACGAGTCGCCAGCTTTTTGGGCTTTCGCCGGCGGATCGCCAGCGAGTCGCTGGCGATCGACTATGCATACGGCTGTAAGTATTCCCAAATTTCCAGTAATCGCAGTAATCCAGAAAAGGCAATGTGAAGAACGTAATGTACGATCAGCTAAAAGAAGACAGCGGGTTGAAGCAACTGGAATGTTAAAAGCAATTGAAACAGCTAGTGTTTCTGAACAAGAGCTTACCTACACATATCCTCCTTCTCCCGAAACCCCTCAAAAAACTGGTACTTGGATCATGACATCAGTATTTTCATTAAAAAAAAAAAAAAAAATTATCCTGAAAAAATATTCCGAGATATAGCCGCTAACAGCCCTTAATCAGACACCCTATACAGTGGTTTGATGTTCTTTGTTGTGATAAGATACATTTCTTTAAAATAATGTGTCTTTGCTCATTGTACTTTATCACATATCATATTCTTGTTTTAGTTGCAATAATAAATTAACTAAATGTTAATAAAAATTGTGCAATATTTGTACTTATACAATAACTTTTCTACTTTCACTTCATAAAAACCACAACTTTTAACAATGAAGTAATGTTATAGTTTTTTACTATTCAGAACGTCTCGTTACTTGTATTTATCTATACAGAAGCGTCGGATTTTTATGCAACGTGACGTCATATCATGTGACAAGGATAGCGCAGGAACATACCGGTATTTGTGTATCGTGTGTAGAAACTACAATGAACAGCAAATTTCAAAATTTTTGAAGGATAATGAAAAATCGGCCGTATTTCGATAAAAACTGGCTTTTCGAAAGGTCCTAAGAGACAAAAAATTTAAAAAATTATGTATTAAACCAATGGTGTCACAATACTAATTTAATTGTAACGCATAGAAAAGTTTGGGGGGTTTTAGGGATTCAAAACCCCCTAAAATTTTTATGGGCTGTACAGATTTCATGGTTTTATGTGAAAAAGATGTTATTACGATAAGAAAGCCATGTATCCATTTTCATTACAAAATGTTTAACAGTTCATGAAATATTGGAAAAAATTGATTTTCATTTTGTAATTTCCAAGGGCTGTAACTTTTTGTGTGTGTGCACATTTGCTTTAATGTTCAATCGAGTTATTTTTGACCCCAGAATATGTGGTTCCAATAATGACTTACCTTTTTGTTATATATTAATGAAACCCTGACGACAAAAAAGGATAGTAGTAGTACCACCACTATGCCTAAAATGATTTAGGGCCTAAAGATAAATGATAATGTTCATAAGTCATAACAGAAGTTCCGCTTTCGTATTTTTTAATTCCAGATATATATGGAGCGATGACGCTCCAATTACAGGATCGCTGTGTTAGCCGTGCGCCCCTGCTCCCCACTACATATTATCAAAGTCCATACACATGCGTATTAGGAAATGAACCAGCGGGAAAAGGAAGACTAGCGCAGTAAGCAGTACGCGAATAGAAAGTGGCAGTACCACACCAACATTGTATTTTGAGAATACTTGATCGTGAATTAAACCATTTTAAAAGAAGTTTAGACCTTTTATTAGGGATAATACATCCCTTCTGTTAACATATATAGAAAGCCAATTTTTCATCCATAGAACTAATTTGGAAAAAAAGTAAATTCTATTAGGCTATCGCACATTTACCAGCAGATGTTTTTACCAAAATTTACGATATAATCTCCGATCCCCCAAAAAATAATACCATTTCTGTAGGATGTAGTTAAAATTTATTTTAATAATTGGAATGTATAATATTGGAGATGTGAAAATATATTGTCTTGTTTATATCTTCCTTTTTTTTTGTTTTTTCTTTCCTCCGACTCTATCTCAACCGTTACTAAGGCTCAACGGATTATGATGTACCTCAACGGCATGATCCTCAACGACAATCGACTATGAAGGCTTAACATAATTATGACATCAGTTTCTGACATTGACACTTGACTAACCTCAAATAAAATCGACCTAAAGGTCTTAAACTGAAGTGACATGAAATTCATAACGTTAAGATTATATATAGGGATCACGGTATCGCCACACATGATATAACTTTTTAATAATAAAGAACCTAAAATATTGTTAATTTTCACAATTTCAACACAAAAAGATCGAGCAAGAAATGTAAAATATACTTACTAATAATTCTCTCAAAAACGTTTCATCTGTTCGGCACCATTTAAATTCCTCTTCTAATTCTGGTGGAGGCACTAAGTTTAAGTACATGGCAATGGCTTTCAGTTTTTCGCGGCTAAAAAATTAAGTTCAAATATTAGGTACACGTGAATTTCAAGAAAAATAAATAATTTACTTTAATGGTCCAAAATGTTTAGCTAAATTTCTTCTTGTATCTACACTGGCAACGTTTGCCAGTGCAAAATTTCTTAAATCGGGAAATTTGGCAAATGCTGCTTGCTGCAAAACAAAAACAGTTATTAAAAACATTTAAAAAATAAGAAGCTATTTGCAAGTGGGAAGCTGTAAGTCCCGGTCCGATCCAAGTTTCAAAGACAACAGAACTTGACTAGCCTTGAAGAGACCGGCCTTTCGGGAAATATAATAAACTCCCGATAGGCCCATGCGCCTCTGCCAAGATGCTTAGCTCTTTCCAATCTTATGTTCGGATATAAACAGATTCGAAATCACGAAATATCCATAAAAAATTCAGATGTCTTTTGAGCTTTGTAAATTATAAAAATGCATCATGATAATTACTTTGCCGGAGTCATAAGTGGCTGAAATTCAGCTTTAGATCTTCAACATTGAAATGAAAATGCAGAAAATTTGATTGCTGCAGCTACGATACATTTTTGACCGTCTAGCAATGTATTAATTTCGTTTTTTGCCATTTTTTTGACAATGTTGCCGACCCTGTATCGTGATGCAAAATCTTCAAATTTCAACTGGCAACGCTGATACTATTTGTTTCCTGCTCGCTCTAATGCTAACTCTCTGTAGTTTTTACACGCACTTGTACAAACTGCATTGAAAAGCGTACGATATCCGATACTGTATAGACAATTTGCTTGAACATACAATAAGTCATTTAAGTGGTTTATTAATTTACATATTCATATATTATAAAAATAAAGTTACCTGCAGGCTGGTTATTTTTGAATAATGGATTTGAGTCATATCGTGGTCGGTAAGGGGATCTCCAGATTCGTCACTAATTTCAAATCTGGAGTAAAATTTAAGCATGTCCAAGAGCTGAAACAAAAAAAAAACATGAACAGGTTATTTGTTAGGAGTTCTTGAAAAGTATAATTCTATGCATGGTAAACCATAATTTGATACTTGTTGTGTATAGACGTAGTTAAAATAAACATATTTTTCAAATAAGTTAAGTCAAAAAAAACTCAAAAATAAGATACAGAATTTAAAAAACTAAATCCGGTCATGGATTTGTGTATAAAGTTTAATTAATTAATAAGTGAAGTGAAAATGCACAAACGCATTTTAAATGTTATTGAAGAATATCCAACAACAAGAATATGCATGTGATTGCAAGATCAGGTGGGATAAAGAAAAGTGTGGACAATATTGCAGGAGCTACTAGACAGCCGCTGTCGAGTCGCGAAGTAGTACCCTCTACTACACCAATCCAAGTGTTGCCGCGACGATTTTTAAAATTGTACTGAATTTTTTTGGAAAATGTACTGACTTGGGAAAAAATGAACTGAATATAAATTTTTTTATAGTAAAACTGAATGATTGCTTCCTGTCCATTTTATTCAGAACACAATAACAATAAACACAAAGCCGCAGCGATTACAACTTGCGACTGGAAATTGGAGTGAGAGAACGGAGAACAGAGTACACCCAGGATTACCAGACGTAAGGAAAAGTCAGGACATGTCCGGAAATTTGGCTTTTTGTCCAGAATGCGCCGTGAAATATAAATTGTCCTGAATGTTCAGGAAAATCATCAAACGTATTAAAGTAGACTTAAAAAATTCTGCATAAACAGTTATTTTGGCAGTTGAAATTATCTTTTCACAATTTATTTTTTATGTAAATATCTAATAGACTGTTGTTGCAATGGCGGCTCCGGAGGGGCTATGGAGGCCACGAATATTTAATTGAGGAACTAGTTTTGTTTTTAGTTTTTGACGATATGTACTTTTTTAAACAAAACGTTTAGTAATAATTACATAAATAAGTTGGAGCATTATTATTATTTTGTCCGGAATGTCAGGAAATTGTATTTTTAAATATGATAACCCAAAGTACGCCCTATGAAGACTAGAGAGAAGGAGGCGAATCGGCAATGATCAAGTTTCCATCCTTCTTTTTGGAAAGTTCGCGAAATTGACTGTAGTTGGCATGTCGAATGACAGCGGTGACAATTTTCTATGTAAGTCAATGTAAAATAAAGTGATTTTTTTAAAAATTGGTGAAAAGAATCAAAATAATGTGAAAAAAAGTACCTGAGTACAAGTAACATAAGTGACAAAAACCATCAAAGCAAGATTAACTTCGTTCCAGATTGTAAAACGGGATACAAATCGGATGTAAAACTAAAGAAAAAACACAAGGGGAAATCAATTCAATGTCTTTTTAAAGCTTCTAATGTAAGTAAAATAATGTATTTATGTCTAAATATAATATTTATTGTAAACTAGTCACAGCACGTATCACGGAGTGTAGTTTATTTTATTATAAGTTTCTATAAAATAAAATTTTACAGTCATAGATCCTGACTTACAAACAACAATAATTATACATTTAACTTACTAGAAAAGAAAATTTATTTTTTATAGAGTTTTAATGTTAGATAAAGAGTTGCTACTGTTATTTTTTTTGACCCCAATTGTGTCATTGTAAATGTTTTTTATAGGATACTAAACGTTTAGAACAGTGGCAGCATATATATCGTTCCTAGTGCCGATAAAGCACTTTCTAGAGATGATGCTGTTCTATACTTTTTAGAAGATATCAAATATGAGACTATTTTTACTGATGATACTGTTATCAAAATAAAAAGGGGAAAGCTGAAATTAAAGTATGAGGTAATACCATGTACATTTCCAAATCTCCCTTTATACCTGTATTACAACAATAAAAAAATGTGTTAACTGTGTTTTATTTTACTCTTAAAACTATGTATTGGTTCAATTAAAAAAAAAAAAAATGCCACAAAATTGTACTTATCAAATTTCAGCATTTAAGAAACCTTTTCGAATTTGGTCATACATACTTAATTTGTATTTTATATAGATAAAATTAAATAATTTATAAATTAAAACATGCAAGACTTATTTAGAAATAAATACAACAGTATGTTCTGTGCTTTATTTAGCTATAATAGTATATTATTCAATAAGTGTATAATGTTGACCATATTACACGAGAATATTCGAGTTTTTTAAAGGAAAATTAGTGTTGCTATTGATGAGTACATAATCATGACGATCACTGTCAGAAGATGATGGATTATTAAGACCAACACAATTTTCATTATCGATTTGACTTAAAATTGCTTGAGCTGTGTCTATTTTGTTCTTTTTTGAATTGGCGATGTACCCTTTTGCTGTGGAGGCGGATTTCCAGCCTCCATGACGTTTAAATGTTGTCATTGAAGCTCCAGAATCAGCAACCAATGTTGCAGATGAACGCCTGAGGCAAAGGCCAGTATATCTCTCAGGGTTTGGTAATTGTAAAATTTGCTTTCCCATTGCGCTAAACTTGTTTATTCCTATCACTTGTTTTGTACACTTTCCTTTTTGGAAATTGAGAAAAAAATCTTGTGGTGCATTTTCGGGCCGGAGGTCTATATATTTTTTAACGATTTTGAAAAAATTATTTACAATTGTGAAATTCCTTGGGACTTTGGTTTTTGTATGTGGCACGTTTACTTGAAAACATCTTAAATCCCCAATTTTCATATTCTTTAATTCACAGGATCGGCAAGCACCCATGACTCCCATAATCAAGGCAACCTTAAAAAAATGTGTAGATTAAGTTAAAGAATTTTGATTTTCGAATCGAGTTTTTACCTTTGTTCCAAGATATTCAAAATTTGGGGCTTCCTTTATAAACCTATCAATTTGTTCACCAGTCAGAGCTTCAGATTTCTTAGGTTCGTAATTTTCGGATGGTCTTTTCAACAAATCACGTAATCTCGGATATTTATCAATGTCGACATTGTGCTTGATGTTTAACATGCTTTTTAGCATGGAATAGTTTGTCCATAAAGTAGACGATTTGTATTTACTAGAAATTTCCATAAAATATACAAGCACAGTGTCTTCGGAAAAAGAGGATACATTTTTTGTTTGTTTCCACGACATAAATTTGTTGTATGCAATCTCATAATTTTTCCTCGATATTTCAGGTAATAATTCCAACGACGCCACTTTAGCAGCATCGCGGATTTCAGGAGGTGTTAGTTCCATGTAATCATCGTCTTCCATTTTTTTTTTTTTTTTTAATTGATAAACACTTAAAACGGGCTTAATATTTTAAGTTTAATTTCAAAAAAGAATCGGGAACAACGAATAACTGTCAACATAATCCAAGGGCACTATATCTAGGAGGATATCAAATAGAAGAGGGAGACTTACCTAACTTGAAGCCACTTCAAATTCTACACTTCCTTGAGAAAATAGGATTGGAAGGGTCGCTATAGGCATTGAGACATTTCCTTAGTGCAGTGGCGACAGAAGGGGGCACAATAGATCTTTTAGGTCGCAGTGTATTAACACCCCATTATCAACATAACATAACTGTCAACATGCTGTCAACTAACTTGTCAAACGCATACTATGAATATATTCTCACTAGTGATATATGGATTGCTTTATGTTGCCTTAGATACGCATATAATACATCCATATAATGACAGTTGTAGATAAACAAGTTTATGTTTATTATTTTGACAAAATTATGTATAATTCCTATAAGAAGCCATGTATTTTGAACACCGTATGCAGTACCAGCGCCCATGTGGTTAATTATAGAAGCTCAATTAGCATGCGTTTTTTGGGACCGTATTTTGAGTATGCAGATTCGCCTCATTATCTCTAGTCTTCATAGTACGCCCAAACCTAACCACAAAGTTTATTTTAGTAATTCTCCAATTTTCCTGTAATGTCAAGCCATCTATTTGGTTTTTTACTGACAGATGGCAGAACACGCACTATTTAATAATTTAAAATTTACAGTTTAAAAAATCTGTTTTAGTTTTAATTATCAATTAATAGACCAAAATGAAAAATAAAATAAATTTATAATATAGATTTGTTTATCAAACGCTGCAAATTTGTTCATCCAAACACTGCAAATGTTGCCTCCTTTCGAATTTTCGCATTTCGTACTGAATTGCGTGGTTTTTTAAAAATTTGTACTGAAGTGCTGAATCTAATCGTTTCGTACTGGTTTCAGTACAATTGTACCGAAACGGCAACACGTCCCAATCCTTTATAATAACTAAACATAGTCACATCTAGGGGCTGGTAACTCAAATGGAAAAACATGAGGACGGTAATTTAGTACCACTCCAATTAACGGGATGGCGCTCGTATCGAAATGTCATGTTAGTTGTCAGCTTGTCAACGAAACTTCAAAGTTGGAAAAATTAAAATGGCTGTTGCATTTGAAGCACATTGGAAGGTGTATTGGATTTTGATTCATCTAAAGTCTATTCAGATTTCATTTACGCCGCGTCAAAACAATTTCTCCCATCCAGCAACAGCTCACGTGACATTTTTTTGCGCTTCTATTGGTTAATCGGTCGTTTGTCATTTAGACGTCGCGCAAATATTTTTTGTCTAGAGTCGAATTCAGTTTAATTTGGATAATTATGAACGGCGTTTTGGTAGCATTCACCGTGTTGGTTAGTTTGGACATTTTGTATGTTTGATTAATTATAATTCATTATATTATAGTTTAGATATACATATATTGTGTTATTTATTTTTTTTGTTTTTGTGGTTGTTGTTAGTTTGAACATGTTTTACTCTATTTTATGGACATTTAATTGACTATATTTTGTAATTGCTGCGTGACACTATGTCCTCCACAGATACAGCAGATAAAGTCCAGAAAAATGATTTTACTCCTTCTAAAAAGCGACTGAAAAAGGAACATTTGGTCATCCGTACTAAAGAAATGGTTCTTAATATTTATAAGCATTAAATTTTATAGAACCCTGATATGTTGGTACATGATGTTGAAAGGAGAGTTGTTGATAAAACAGGGATGTGCGC